TTTTTTTTTTTTTTTTTTTTTTTTTTTTTTTTTTTTTTTTTTTTTTTTGCAGGCGGAGGGACAACACGTCCATGTCTCGTTTGCAATAAGCATGTTGTGCGCCTGCTAAACATCTCTTCATTGGAGCGGATCGATCAATCAACCACTCAATCAATCAATCAATCAATCAATCAATCAATCAACCAATCAATCAATCGATCAATCAATCAATCAATCAATCAATCAATCAATCAACAAATGATTCTTTCTCGCTCTCTCGATCAATCAACGATCAAGCAACCCGTCAAACAATTATTATTATTATTATTATTATTTTCCTGCTCATCGATGTAATCAGCCACTCAATCAATCAATCATTCAATCAATCAATCAATCAATCAATCAATCAATCAATCAATCAATCAATCAATCAATCAATCAATCAATCAACCCATGATTGTTTCTTCCTCTCTCTCGCTCTCTCTTTCTCTTTCTCTCTCTCTCTTTCTCTGCTCTCTCTCTCCCCGTTTGTCTCTATTCCTAAGGTGGCTTTTTTCTTTTCCTGGAATGCAACTTTAATTCTGCCCGGTGCTACAAATACTGCATGCTTTTTCCGCTTTTGCGTTTCTGTTCAATCCTCAACTAAACATATTGCTATGGTCTTTGTGCGTGTTCTTCTTTGTTTGTATTGATGAATCCTTCCGCCCTGCAAAACTGTGACCGCCTTTAACTGAATCTTCTCTCGCCGCAGAACAACGAGCACGACATGAACATTGGACACAACAAGAACGCTATAGACACACACACGCTAACCACATCCAACCGCGATTCAATGCGGCACGCATTTACACCACCGCCCTTATCACACAATAGATCTTTGTCACCATTGCGGCGCTCGGTGACAGAACGTCGTGCGTTCATTGCGGTGCGGAGAAATGGCAACACGAACATTCATGGACGATGTCATGTTGCCGCCGAGGCAAAGTCGAACCGGAAATATGGCAGTTCCCTCCGCCACAAACCCCTGAATATCAAATCCTCCAACTGTGGGAATCCGACACATCACATGGGAGGCTCTTACGAACATGAGTGCGCCAATTTAACAACGCACTCGCACTAACATCGCAAACTGTCAAAGAGACACAATATCCTCCGAGCGCCTGGCCAGGTATGCTGCGAATAGAAGGCGAACTCCGCCAAAACTTGGCCCCCCTCTTTCCGCAGCCGAACAATCAACCTTCTTTTGCGCAAATTTACGTCTACGACCCACAAGACGAACATGGCGCTACACTTCTTCGCCTCAATCGTCTCGATCTCCCTGTCGACACGCCTCTTGCAACAGTTCGCGGCATAAAATTTCTGCTCCGAAAACTCCATGCGCTCTTATGCTCATGCAACCCATGGGTACAAGACTTCATTACTATTTCTGAAATGTCTGACGAAATATCGCATGACCGCCACATTGTCATCAATCCTGACGCCCGACCAACAGGCTAGCATGCACGACGATACAACAAACCAGAAGGCCTTAAAGAGATTTGTGTCATCATGCACGACCAACTTACAAACCGCGAAATCAAAATTCACAAACGTGAAGGGGGTATTATTGCAATCCCTGAAACAAACCGTGCTTTTGATCCCCTCCATTACGTTCTCCTTTTTCCTAAAGGTGATGACGGATGGACACCTGAATGTGATTGCGATGATGAAGACACTGCTCGATCTATTACGGCAAGAGAAATTTATGTTTTCCACTTGAACACACGTGTCGCTGAAAGAACAACCCTTTTTCGTGCCTCTCGCCTTTTCCAACAATACGTCTGTATGGCGTTCGCGAAAATTGAAAATGACCGCCTCCTATACAATCGCTTGCACCAAACTGAAATATGTGTCGACCTATACCAAAACCTAAGATATCATGTTATGCAATATGACAATACATAAAATGTTGGACAACGCATTATCTTGCTAGGAACATTCACTAGAGGACCCCGTGACATGCACCGCCGATATCAAGATGCTATGGCAACCGTCCACGAATACGGAGCACCAGACTTATTCCTCACTTTCACATGCAACCCGCATTGGCCCGAAATAGAAAACACACTCTTTACGAATCAACAACCAGCGGACCGACCTGACCTCCTTGCACGTGTTTTCAAAGGATACCTTCGCCAACTCATCCACGACATACACTCGACTCACGTGTTCGGCCCAACAACAACGTACACATACGTCATTGAATTCCAAAAACGTGGGCTGCCGCACGCACACATTATTGTCACACTCAAACAAGACCACAAATTTCAAACACCCGAACAAATTGATTCTGTTGTTTTTGCCAAACTTCCCACCAATCCTGCACTGCGCGAGCTCGTCCTTGCTCACATGATTCACAACCCGTGTGGTGTACACAACATGCACGCATCGTGTATGCATAACGACCGTTGCACATGCTTTTTCCCTAAAGATTTCTCCGAACGCACAACCTGGAATGAAGAAACCGGATACCCTATTTACCGTCGCCGTTCTCTCGATGACGGAGGACTGACAACACTTCACGGTGACACTGAAATTGATAATTCCTGGGTTGTCCCTTATAACCCCTACCTCCTCCTCCGATATCGAACACACTTCAGTGTCGAAATTTGTGCCTCGACCGCCGCATGCCGGTACATGTTTGAGTATATTCTCAAAGGGCCTGATAGAGCAATTGTCGCTGAGGCAATAAATACTGAAGACGAAATTCAAACATACTAAGATATGAGAACAATTGGCGTTGCTGAATCCTGTTGGCGCATTTTCGACTTTGTCTTATGCGATCGCTACCCTGCTGTGACGCCTCTGCCTGTTCACACCGAAAACTGGCAACGCATATACTTCCGTCATCGACAAGCCCTGCAAATTGCGCATGCTTCGCCACCCGAAATGGAACTCACAGCATGGTTTAAATTGAATGTTGCTCATCTTCAAGATCCTGAAGATGACAAACCGCTGTACAAAGATATGATACGCCGATTTCGTTTCAACAAAACCACAAAACGATGGGCTGCTCGCCGAAACACAATGAACACAATCGGACGAATGCATACAATCCACCCAAATGGAGGTGACACATTCTACCTCCGAATTCTTCTGCTCTCGCCACATTCACGCGGTGCTACAAGTTTGAGTATCTTCGAACTGTTGCCGGAGAAATTCACCCAACATACCAATCCGCATGCAAGACCCTCGACCTTCTGAACGACAATACCCAATTCGATGCTGTCCTGCAAGATGCTATTTTCACATTGCCCATGGTACGTGACCTTTTCGTCCACATAATTCTTCATTGTGCCATCAGTGATCCAAACGAGTTCTTCGAAACCCATTGGGAACAAATGACAGACGATTTCCACAGAAATCTTCATAATGTCCAAGTCCCGACATCAATTATAAAAACAATGGTCTTACTTGACATCGAAAACCGCCTCCAAAAAGAAGGCAAAGAACTCTGCGATGTCGGCCTCGCAGCCCCAACAGCAGAAGATCGAGACCAAGTTGAAAATCTTTCCGAAAGGCCGCGCCGCCAAGGCATCCCACGAATCATCGATGACGAAATCTCTTACGATCAACATATCCTGCAGCGCACCCTCGACAACAACCTCCCGCGTTTGACACCATCCCAACATGCAATCTTCCAACGTGTCATCCGCGCCGCCGAAAACAATGAATCACTTTACCTATTTGTTGATGCACCTGCAGGCACGGGCAAAACATTTTCCTTCAACACAATTCTTGCACATCTTCGTCTCCACAACTGCGTTGCCCTTGCCGTTGCCTCAAGCGGCATTGCCGCAACTTTCCTAGATGGAGGGCGCACTTTCCATTCGCGCTTCAAAGCAACCCTCAACCCCACCGCCACTTCCACATTAGACATTTCCAAATAATCTGCACTCGCAGACCTTATACGCATGACCAGCATTATCCTCTGGGACGAGGCACCCATGATACACAAATTTCACATCGAAGCACTCGACTGAACTCTACAAGACATTTGCTCATCGGCGCTTCCATTCGGGAAAAAAATCGTTGTCCTCGGCGGCGACTTCCGACAAATCCTCCTCGTCATTGCTAAAGGCACACAAACACAAACAATAGACGCATGCATCAAATCATCGCCATTATGGTCCCACTTCGAAACCATGCACCTCTCTGAAAACATGCGAGTGCAAACCCAAATCGCCACTCCTGAAGGGCGAGACTACCCACAATGGCTCCTCACACTGGGAAACGGCGACCTCGAACACCCTCACGAAACTCCACCCAACACTATCTCATTGCCCCCCCACTTATGTCTCCACGGCGGTACCGCTGACCTCATCGAATGGACATTCCCCAACCTCCAAACCAATTTCCAAAACCCCGACTGGATATCCGAACGCCTCATCTTAGCCCCTAAAAACAAAACCGTCTCCACACTCAACAACATCATCCTTGATTATTTCCCTGGAGAAATCATCACATCGCTCAGCGCAGACTCACTTCTCCTGAACGAAGCATTCCCTGACATCCCCATCGATACACTCAACACCCTTGACTTACCATCACTGCCACCACACATCCTCCGCATGAAAAAACATGCACCGGTCACTGTCCTACGAAATATTGCAATGCGAAACAACCTTTGCAATCGAACACGACTCATTGTCGACTCCGTCACCAATAACAAACTGCTCTATACTCGCACACTCCCCACTCTCCACCCGGTTCTCCTCCCACTCATACTCCTCGCAATAACAGACACAAGCTCCCCGTTCCCATGACAAAGACGCCAATTCCCTACCCTCCCCGCCTTCGCCATCACTATAAATAAATCCCAAGGGCAATCAGTCAAACACGGTGGCATTGACCTACACCGCCTCCAGAGTCGGCGATCCGGCACACATCCGCTTCGCCCTCCCGACGCCGCTACAACATACAACAAACATTGTCTACAAAGAAATTCTGGTCTAAAACAAACCTCACTATTTTTAACAACAAATTTCTCATTGCCCTGCAGGTTCGCCATCGAAAAAACTCAAGACTTTAACGTCAGCAACCGCTGCGGCCGACAACTCACCAAGAATGCCTGGATCGACAACAACGTTGACAACACCTACACCCATTCTAACCCCAACACAATCAACGCCGCCCCCTCCCGACACATCCACTACCACCTCGCCATTGCCATCCACTGCCATAACACTGCCCACGAACCCTTTTGCCACCGCCACATCCATCGACGCCCTCATCCCCATCTCCACCGCCGCAACAACTGCCGCCCCCCATCTCACAACATCGTCCACACCATCTGCCGCCCCCGATCTCGCAACATCATCCGCACCATCCACCGCTGCCGCCACCCTCACTCTCGAAACACCGTCTGCACCATCTCGCTCCCGATCACCATCACCTTTCCACTTTTCAATCGATGACGCCACACTCGCTGAAATCCCCATCCCTCTATCACAACTTCAATCGCAACCTCCACCTCCCGCATTACAATCCGCTCACCAATCACAAAACCCTACGCTAACATGTGACTCTTGGATACCTCTCGTCACACCCGTCAATATCAACCCCATCATCGACCAATTGCTCTGGGAGGACTTCCTCTCAACCGGCCATGCCGCCTTCTCCCCACATATCCTCGATTTCTTCGACATTTACAAACACAACCGCACACAATCACTACAAAAACCAGAACCGCACCATAATCCTGACATCCACTTCGCACGAATGAAAACATTTTTGCTCAAAATTATCAACAATCACTACAACAAACTGCGCTCACCTCCTATCACAGCGCGCTCTACCGCTGCGAACGAATCACGAACGCACACCACAAACACTCTTTCATTGCATCTACACCTCTGCCGACCTGTCCACCCCTCCAACCACGTTCGCTCCACGACACAGACCCGCTCTGGTGGCTCCCCCTCGAACCATGGGGTGCAACCCGCTCAACGGCTATGATCCATGACATCCTCGCGAACCCCCTCACACTCGACATCTACAACATCCCCCCCCCGCCTCGCACAAGGGACTACCTCAACCACCTCGTCTTCCTTCACCACCGCCAACACCACCGCCCCCTCCCACCGTTCCCTGCATTCAGATCTGATATCGTCGCCCGCGCGGCACTATACCTGCAGGCCCAAAACGCCCCCCGCCGCTGACACACCGGACCTCCAAGACCGTCTCAAGCCCGCCGCCGACAGCGCTCGCCATCAACATACGATCAAGAAGACACATCAACATACAATCAGGGCAGCGACCATTAACAGAAAGAGGACCTGCGCCGCCAACGGGACGCCCGTCCCAAATCTGGCTGCCAAAGAGACACATCTGCACATCAACAGAGACGGGAAGAAAAAGACAGAGCGAAAGACAACGAGAGAGAGAGAAAGAGTGCTCCAAACGCCCCGTGCATTGAGACGTCTCTCAATATGTTATCCCCAATCATGCCAGAGAGATGACAACATGCGCCTTCGCAAGGGGACACGGAAACACGAAGCCTGCCGACGACACATATCAACATACAATCAACACAGCGACCGTCGACGAAGAGAGGACCGCCGCCGCCAACGGGACGCCTGTCCCAAATCTGGCTGCCAAAGAGACACATCTGCACATCAGCAGGGACGGGAAGAAAAAGACAGAGAGAAACAGAGAGAGAGAGAGAGAGAGAGAGAGAGAGAGAGAGAGAGAGAGAGAGAGAGAGAGAGAGAGAGAGAGAGAGAGAGAGAGAGAGA